CCACAGCTGCCCTGGGGCAGACTGACAGAGGCGAGGCTGCCATATCGCGCCATCGGCCCCTCTGGCCAACACCAGTAGGCGAAGTGTCTTGCCCAAGGACACAACGACCAAGACAGACAGAGCAACTGGCAACCTTCCGGTTACAAGATGAGCTTCCCAACCCCCTGAACCACGGTTGCCCGGTTCAGGCGATGGTTAACTCTGTCTTGTGTAATTTTTCTTGTTTTCAGTTAGCGGTCACTCCGTGTCCTCGTCAGCTGTGAGAAACACCATCACTTTGTTTCTCCTGCAGCTTAATGTGGCAAGAATCACATGTACACATGAGCAGATGAGCCCACACAGATCGCTGCCGCTTCCTGTCCGTCTCTGCGTGATGTGTGGAGTGGATCTTGGAGGCAGATGGTGCTGCCAGGCATGTATATATTTTATGTTTCCTCCCAGCCGACACTCAAAGGCTGGGGACACTAAAAAAAACAAAGATCAGCGGATAGAGCTAATAATGTAATCATTGGGAACACCTGCAAAGTTGCAGATGGGCGATTTCAGACCGACGCTTCGCCAGTCACGAGGTCCCGCCCACCCATATGGAGAGCTGGTGTGGTGGTGGTGGTGGTGGTGTGTAGGACTCCCAACAGGCTGAACTGATTTCCTGTACAGGGTCATGCCCAGGACAGACTTGGAGGACAAGGGTTTATACTGTCATGTATATCAAAATGTTAAAAGTCAAACAGAAGGCAGATTATCAAAGACATGTGATTCACTGTTCTAATCAGGCAGTGAGGCAATAACTGGTGGGACATACCGCTCTGGGCCACTGCTGTCTGGGACTGATACACTGGCATTGTACTGCATGGGCCGAGGAGGTGGTGGTGGTGGTGGTGGTTGTGGTGGTGGTTGTGGTGGAGGAGGTTGGCATTGGGCAGGGGCATTCAATCACAAGATGTCAAGTTAGGTGCCCGATTAAGGAGGGGCACAGTTTATGGGCAGGGCCAACCGGGAGTGTCAGGTGGACGGGCGGGCGTTCGGGGGCGGGCGGAGGTTGGGCCAACGTCAAGGTGGGCAACGCAGGAGGGGCATGTCGATCCAGTACATGGGCAACGGAGGAAGGTGGCCAAAAGTAAAGACAAAAAAATTAAAAAAAAAGGAGAAGGGAAGAGGGGGAGAAGGAATACATTTTTAATTGAATACACGCTACACGTTGTCCCAAAAGTGAAACTGTGGTGAGTGAAGAAGAACAGTAAGTGTGACCTGGACAAAGATATGTTTAATAAGCAGTTTGGAGCACTAGACAGATTTATGTCCCTGAAAAGGCTTTCCAGTCAAGGCTTTCAGGCACCTGTTGTCACTTCAAGGTCAAACATAGCTTCAACAGTTTGGGGAAATGTAATTAGGTCGAAACTCACAAACACAGGACTGGGGGGGG